ATTCATCATATGACAATGTCACAGTGGACAGAGAGACTCAAGAGAAGTGGGTTTTGACTATGTGAGGCAAGAGGGATTATGGTCGTGAGTAGCCAGGGAGTGATTTAAGCACAGGATTCAGAGAAAGGAGGGACAGAGGAAGAGGTGCTAAAGAAACCACCCTCTGTCCGGGCACGGTGGCTCACGCCTGTAATCCCAGGCCGAGGGATTTGGGAGGCTGAGGCAGGTGGATCACCAGGTCAGGAGATCCAGACCATCCTGGCCAACGTGGTGAAACCCCGTCTCTACTAAAAATACAAAAATTAGCTGGGCATGGTGGCGCACGCCTGTAATCCCATCTACTCGGGAGGCTGAGGCAGGGGAATCTCTTGAACCAGGGAGTCGGAGGTTGCAGTAAGCTGAGATCACGTCACTGCACTCCAGCCTGGCAACAGAGCAAGACTCCATGTCAAAACAAAAAAAACAGAAAGAAAGAAAAAAAAAAACACCTGCTCCATCAGTCACAACTGCCATCCTGAGGCCAAGAAGAACTAAATGGTCTCAAAATTATTTCACAACTGGTTGCTAGCACCTTTCCACAGTGGGGCTTGTCTAGCTGGAGATTATCTAGAATCAAACATTAATTCACCCAGGCTGGTCATGGTGGCTCACGCCTGTAATCCCAGCACTTTGGAAGACCGAGGCAGGAGGATCACTTGAGGCCAGGAGTTCAAGACAACCTGGGCAGCAAATGAGATCCCTATCGAAACAAAACAAAACAAAAAAAAGAGTAAGCACATCATAGAATTCTAAGAATTGAAGTAACCCTGTAACATTTAATTCATGGTAAATACATAAAGGAAGTTATTATTATTATTATCACCCAACAGTGTGTATACATGAAAAATGTCTTTTTTTACTGACACATGGCTGAGTGAATGCAGTTTGTTTGCGGGATGAAATATTTAAATGAGAAGCCACTCAACTCTTCCTCTTGAACTTGGAGTCATTCTCTCGAGTGTAATTCCCAGTGCAAAGCATCACATCAACCTTATCAATCAACTGTGATGTCAACAACAGCCACTGCACCAGACCAGCCATCCTCTGTGGGATTAAGAATTATCGTGTGAACCACCTCACTGGGACAATGCACTGCATTAGGATCTATCCCTTACGATGGCTCAGGGTTTTCAGTCTCTAAGGCACCTTATCGTTATCTTACCTAAACTTCCTAACAACCCTGTGAGGAAGGCTGGACGTCTGCTTTCATCCCATGTTACAGATGAGAAAACAAAGGTCCACAGAGGTCAATGACTTGCCTAAGGTGACCTGGCACAGAAAGTTGTGTGGCAGAAGGGGAACCTCGGTTTCCTAACTTCTGGTTAAGTGCCCTCCTAGGATAGGAGAAATGAATGACTCCTGCTACTCCAGCCACCACTTCCAAAAATTAACCACTAATAAAAATGTAAAAATCAGTATGCCAGCAGTAGTCCCTGTTGCAAACATTAGGACCTTTCTTGTATCACAGATTACTGAAAACATTCCCTCTCTTTTTGTTGTAGTTGTTGTTGTTTGGTTTTTGGGTTTTTGTTGTTGTTGTTGTTGTTGTTGTTGTTCTGAGATGGAGTTTCCCTCTTGTCACCCAGGCTGGAGTGCAATGGCGCGATTTCAACTCACTGCAACCTCTGCCTTCCGGGTTCAAGCAATTCTCCTACCTTAGCCTCCTGAGTAGCTGGGATTACAGGCGCCCACCACCACACCTGGCTAATTTTTTATTTTTAGTAGAGATGGAGTTGCAACATGTTGGCCAGGCTGGTCTTGAACTCCTAACCTCAGGTGGTCCACCCTCCTCAGCCTCCCAAAGTGCTGGGATTACAGGCGTGAGCCGCCTTTCTTTCTTTTTTTTTTTTTAGAGTCTTGCCCTGTCACCCAGGCTGGAGTGCGGTGGAATGATCATGGCTCACTGCAGCCTCGACCTCCCAGGCTCAAGGTGATCCTCCCACCTCAGCTTCCCAAGAGTAGCTGGGACCACAGGCACAACACCATGCCAAGCTAATATATATATATTTTTTCTCTTATGTTTTTTTTTTTTTTTTAGACAGAGTCTCACCCTGTTGCCCAGGCTGGAGTGCAGTGGCACAATCTTGGCTCACGGCAACCTCCATCTCCCAGGTTCAAGCAATTCTCATGCCTCAACCTCTCCTCTAGCTGGAATTACAGGCATGCAGCACCATGCCTGGCTAATTTTTGTATTTTTAGTAGAGATGGGGTTTCACCGCATTGACCAGGCTGGTCTCCGCCTGCCTTGGCCTCCCAAAGTACTGGGATTACAGGTGTGAGCCACCATAGCTGGCCTACTCTTAATTTGTTTTTTTTAAGTACACAAGCTAATTTTTAAATTACTATTTGTAGAGATGAGGTCTCCCTATGTTGCCCAGGCTGCTCTAGAACTCCTGGGCTCAAGGAATCCTCCTGCCTCAGCCTCCCAAAGTGCTGAAATTACAGACGTGAGCCACCATGCCCAGTTCCACCACATTTTAAGCAACAACTAACCTTAAGCCAAAGACCACCCTGAGGGGACTGGCCACATCCCCCTGGGACCCTCCACTGTTGCAGCCCATCTTCCCTGAGCCACCAGCACCAAGCGTCAGATGAACTTCACTGTCCTGGTTCAGTGCTGCCTGTGTGTGAGCCTCGGCTCCCCATCCTCTTTGCGCCTCAGTGTCTTCCCTGTGCAGTGGGCCTAGCAGTGCCCACCCAATGGGGTGGTTGTGAGGATTTGCTGGAAGGGTGTGTGTGGAAGCGCCTTGTCCGGGACCTGGCCTATATGTAAATATAATAAAAGTTTGTTATTATTTCCGTTAATTGCATATTGTACTTGAATACTCCCTGGACAGATAATGAGAAAAAATGAGGTTTGAATCACCGCCTCTGTCACTTGTAATCCTGTGTGAGTTGCTTAATCCCTCTAAATCTCAGTTCCTCCATCTGCAAAAATCTTTTTTTTTTTTTTTTTTTTTTTTTAGACAGCCTCACTCTGTCACCCAGGCTGGAGTGCAGTGGCACGATCTCGGCTCACTACAACCTCCAACTCCTAGGTTCAAGCGATTCTCCTGCCTCAGCCTCCCAAATAGCTGGGACTACAGGCACCTGGCACCACGTCTGGCTAATTTTTGTATTTTTAGTGGAAATGAGGTTTTACCATGTTCCCTGTGTTGGACTAGGCTGGTCTCAAACTCCTCAGGTGATCTGCCTGCCTCGACCTCCCAAAGTGCTGGGATTACAGGCGTGAGCCACCATGCCTGGCCGCAAAAATCTTATAATACCTTCCTCACGGAGAGTAACGAAGGTTAAACGATGAAACACACAGAGCATTTTAATGCTGTGAAGGACTTCATGAGGTTGGTGAAAAATGTCAGTGAGGCTCTGGGAGGGCCACAGCACAAGTGTAGATTAGACTCCGGGTGTAGCCGTGTGGCTCAGAAAATGAGTGGAAGTAGAGAGAGGATAAGAGAGGGGCAGGGACAGAGAGAGAGGATCAAGCATTCCTTCAGTGCCTGCTGAGTGCCTGCCCTGGTCCAGACCCTGTTCTTGGTGCTGGGGGGTGCAGCAGTGAGTTAAAGAGACAAAGCCCCTGTCCTCGTGGTGCTTATGCTCTAGTGAGTCTGGGGAACAGACCAGGGGACTGTTGACCCCAAATTTAAATGTGTGAATAGGAATGACTATGGAGAAGAGGCAACCAGGAGGAGGGACAGAGAGAAGTGAGACTCCAGGCTTGAGAGAATGACCTTGGGCTGGTGGAAGAGGCACGTGCCGAAAACAGGCACAGAACTCCTCACCCTAGGGCAGGGAGAAACCAAGAGAGTCCAAGATGGGAAAAGAATCAGGTGAAGAGGTTGAGGTGATGAAGAAGGGCGCGTGCTTGGTGATGCGGAAGGTGGGCTCTGCGGAAGGTGGGCTCTGCGGAAGGTGGGCTCTGCGGAAGGACTTCCTCTGCGGAAGGTGTTCCAGGGAGGACTTCTCAGTGTAGGATGGAGCCTTATGGCAGACGCTGGGACTGGGCATCTTCTCTGGAAACGCTCCTCTCCCACTCAGGCAGGCAGGCAGGCAGCTCCCTATCCCTTGAGTTCTGGTGTTTTTCCTACTCCCTTCTCCCCTCCCACAAGCTGCTCAATTCCCAGGGACCTGGCTGAATGGAGAGTACATACACCTGGACCACTGCAGGCGTGGCACAGGGGAGAGCGAATCCAGAACCAAATCACCTCCAACCGCACCTGCTAATTCTTCTGTGCTTTTGTAGCCTGACCCTTGGCTGCCCTCACTCCAACTCCTGTGTGAGGATGCTGAGCTCCTGGGAAAACCAAAGGGAGGGCGGGAGAGACAATACAGTGACCAAAGGCTGAGACTGCATGTCATCGCTTGGGCATGAAAGCATCAAATGCCACCCCAGGTGGGACTGTTGGCTCCAAGGTTTTTTCTCCCTTTTCTTTCTCCCTTTTCTCTTTTCCTTTATCAAGGTCTGCTATTTACTCAGCAAATGTTCAAAGTCTGTGGTTCTCTGGGACACAATGTGCCAAGTGATGCATGTAAGGGAGGAGATCAATGTATCCTCCACTTCTAAGAAGCTTGACTTTCCGGGGAAGAAAAGACAAGTGAAGCATAGACTTTGTGACGTTTGGCTTCCTGTGTCTGTGAATTGTGAGGAATCCTGTCCACCTGGCCCTGGAGCCGCCATCCCCCTGCTGCAGGTGCCGTCTTAATTAGTCCTGCTGTCCCTCCTCCCCCTTTCAGATTCCAGCACAATTCTGGAACAGCTCTCCCACCTGGCTGAGACTCTCCCACCTGGCCAGGGTGAGGCTCCACCCTCAAGCACTTGGGCGTTGATCCTTTGCAAAGGATGGGTATAGCAAGAGAGCGTCTGCAGGGGCCCCTAGAGGGCCGTGGAGATGGCTAGAAAACAGGAGTGAACAGACTCACTTCAGCTTATGCCCAGAAACAAAGACACCAAGAAGAAGCAAATTCCATAAGTGCTTTTATTTTATTGGAGATGAGCAAGGGAGGCATTGAAAAGTGGGGATAGGGCTGGAAACATGCTGACAGGGCCTGGATTGAGCCCACACAGCAAGGGGCGGGAGCAGGACTCTAACTCCCAATGTTGGGTTTCCCTCTATGTGCTCTAGCCCCACTGCAACCCAGGGCTTGGAGGATTAGGGAAGCCAGCTGGGGTGTTCCAAGAAGAGCCAGGAGGGCGGAGAACTCCGGGAGGAAATGGGTTATTGATACCTGGGTATAGATGAATATTCCCCCAGCTGCCTCCTGGATACCCATTAATATTCCCCCAGCTGCCTCCTGGATACCGATTAATATTTCCCCAGCTGGTACCTGGGGGTTGATTATTGATACCCCAGATTCCCCCAGGGTGTGACATGGGCCTCGTTCCCCAACCAGTCCCAGGGCCTCCACCTCCCCAGGACACACTGGGATTCAGGGTCCCCCAGGGGTGATCAGGCAGAACCCTGTGGATGAGAGACCAGGGAGGGCGTTGGGAAAGGATTTTTCCCCCGGGTCCCAGTGGATTAGAACGGGGCAGTCGTCTGGACTCCGAGTCCTGGTGGAGGTGTGAAGCCTCAGGTGAGAGGTCTGTGGCGTCAGGAGAAGACTCTCCAGGCAAAGGGCCACTGCCTGGAGCGAGGGCCGCAGCACTGGAGAGGTAAGAGAGTTCTTCAGGCAGCGCTTCCCCCAGGCGGTCCGCAGCCGCAGCAGCCATCATCAGCCAAGGATCCTCAGGGGGCCAGGAGTACACGGCAGGCAGCCTCCCGGACAGAGGCCACCTCTGCACTGCAGAGCCTCCTGTGGGTGGGAAGCCGTCTGATGGGGGCATGCTGAGCTTCAGAGGAGCCCTTGCCAAATCGTTAGACCTCGGGTCCAGAGCAGGCTGAGGATGTTCAGAGTTAGGGGGGCCAGTCAGGGAAGGTTGTCCAAGCTGAGGCAAGTTGGTCCCCAGGTTTTGGGAAACTTTCTCCTCCACAGCACCAATGCTCCGGGCAAAGAGGCCTGAGGGAAAGGGAAGATAAAGCAGCCAATGGTTTCCCTTCCCCGATTCCGGTTCCCTTTGCTTCCCCTGTGCCTATTCTTCCTTTTCCCTCAGGGACCTAAATGTGTACCCTCCTGCCTTTACCCCTTTCCTTAATTCCTGTTTCCTGGGGGACCTCCAGTCTCTCCTGCCCAAGGGCATCACGGCCTCCGTACCTGGGAGACGAAGACAGACCAGAAGCAGGCCCAGGGGAGCGCAGCTCCCTGCCACGCGGCCCCGCATCCTGCTCAGCACCTGAATCTCCCTCAGCCCCAAGACAGCCAGCCCTTTATCCTGGTAGTGGGGTGGGGGACGGCAGAAACAGGCTGGGCTAGTGGTTGTGGAGACAATAAACCTCCACATTCCACCCTCATTTCTAATGCGGTCTGTGGCAACAGGTGCCACTTGAATGAGTGTCCCAGAGGAAGCTGGGTGTCCCCCGCCCTGGCTCCTTTCCTTGACCTCCCTGCCCCTTCTTGGCCCAGGTGTCCTGGCTCACAGCTCATCCCTGGTTGCCAACCTCCCCAGCCCTGCTTCCCTACACACAAGGACCTCCACCCTGGGGTCCCACTCTGTTAATTGCCTCTCTCAGCAACAGAAACACTGGTTTCTCTTTGGGATCTGGTTTGTTCCCTCCCAGCACCCCTTTCTCATGCATCCTCATATCTCCTTCACCTTGGCCCCAACCTGCAGGAGGTTCTGGGGTGCGGAAGTGGCCCCATCTGAGGAGCTGCTCCTAGATGGGACTCTGGATCTAGCTAGGGAAATGGGCCTGGATGCCATCCTTATGAGAAGCTGGCTAATTCCTGCTGCTGCAGCGACAAATTACCATGAACCGAATGGCTTACAACAACATGGATTTATGACTTTACAGTTTTGGAGACCAGAGGTCCAAAACAGGTCTCAGTGGATTAAAATAAAGGTGTCAGCAGGGCTGTGATTCTTTCTGGGGGCTTTAGGGGAGAATCCCTTTCCCCCCCTTTTCACCTTCTAGAGGTTACTTGTGTTCTTTGGCTCATGGTCCCCTTCCTCCATCTCTAAAGCCAAAATCAGCCAGTTCTTACACTGTGTCACTCAGACCTCCTCTTCTGCCTCCCATGTCCACACTAAGGGACCTGGTGACTACACTGGACCCACCTGGATAATCCATGGTAATGTCTTTAAGGTCAGCTGACTAGCAACCTTAATCCCATCTGGAATCTTAATTTCCCTTTGCCATGTAACCTAATTCCCACATTCCAGGTATTAGGATGTGGACATCTTTGATGGTGTTGGGGTTGGAGACATCATTCTGCCTGCCACAGGTGGTCAGATGTGCCACATAGTGTAAGAAACACTGGGAGAAAGTGGCTATTTCCCAGTAACAGTAGAGCAGGCCTTTAAATGCTGCTGTCAAATGGCCAGGACTTGATCCTTGTTGAAGCTGGGTGGGGAATGTAGAGACTCATTGACTGTTTGTTGACTTTTAAATACGTTTTATTTTTATTATAAAAATACAATGCCTTTGTTCTCTCTATGGCTTCCCGGAGGCCCCAGGAGTAGGCTTCCCCGGCTGCCCAAGGTCTAAACATGAGCTGTTGGCTGATTCTACTGCTGTGTCCTCCTCCCCAGCCCCTGCTGGCTTAACCACTGGAGGAGCAAAGAGCTTCTCTCCAGAACTGGCAGTGGGAGGAGCCCAGAGGCCTTTTTGGATGACATGCATGAGTTTTACACAAGCTTTTAATTTGGAGCACAGCAGAAGACTCGAGGAATCACCGCATCCGAGGGCTTCCCTCCCTGCAATTCCCATCCATGAAGCATCTGAGGACCTCAATTCCTGCCATTGGCTGCAGATCAGGGGCCAGATGCTGGACCAAGGGTGATTCAGCCCCTTTCTGGTCAATGTAATACATTTCTGCTGATTCCAGACTTGGACTTTCAACAGTTCTAAATTCAGGACCAGACAGCACCATCCTGATAGGAAGGAATGGGTTAAGTGCTAGGGTAGGGGTGAATTCCTTTGCAGCCAGCAGAGGCTCCGAGAGGTGGCCTGGGGTGGGGGTGGGGCTCCTACAGGGACAAGCACGATCCCCTCTGCCCTCCTTGGGATGCGGGAACTCCGTCTGCCTCAGCCGCTCCCTGCCTGTCTCAGGACTTAAGTCACATGGACCCCACTGCCACTCCACTTTCTCTCTCTTCTCCAGTGGAGGTGACTCCTCTTCCCCACTGGGGCACGCTGCCCTCTCAGCCCTCAACTGAGATCCATGTCGCTCACACTGTCACTCTGGACCCCAGCAGAGCAGCGAGTGTGAAGACGGAGAGACCACTGGCAGCTCTGTTCTGCCTCTTGATCTAGGCCAGTGAGTCACCCTGCTTGGCTGCACTCCCTGCCCCACTCCCATCCTCTCAGTCCTTTACTCTCTCCACCCCCAGCTCCAGGAACAACGCCCACCTGGGCTCCTACTCAGCTGACAGGAATCTGGTTGGAGTTGTTGTGTCCCAGCCTTCCCAAGCTTCCAGGTGTCCCAGAAACCCAGGAAATCGAGACTCATGACTCCCAGAGAGGATGGCGTCTAGAAGGTGAGGCATGCTAATGGTGGAAGAAAAGGAGTTTGGGTGGGGAGGGGAGGGAGAGGAAACACTGAGGGCCCTAAATAAGGAGAAGGAGGACCCCATGGTGAATGAGGAATGGGAAGAGAATGGATTTCCTGGAGCAATGAGAGAGGACGGAAATGGTGGAAGGATCTGGGAGGCCAGGCAATCTCTGCTTTCAGTTCAACAAATATTTATTGTCTTCCTCCTCTGTGGGAGGAGCTGGAAGGTAGAAGAGAAATACAGGCCAGCTTTTGAAGGAAAATGAGAGACAGAGACCTATAGAGGCGTAGGAAGAGCACCAGCCAGGCTCTCAGAGGAGACCCAGGACTCCAAGAAGGCAAAAAGTCTGCACCTAGTCCCCACAGTTTACTGAGCATCTGTCCAGGATCCAGAGACAACAGGGAGCCTGCTCCAACCTCTGAGGGTGCCCCAGTGTCTCCCTCACCCAGGGAAGCATCTGAGCACTGAGGGAAGTGGCCGCAGGAAGGAGCTGAGATAAGGGCCTTGAGAGGCAATGGGTGTGTTGGGGACGGTGATCTAGGAGGGCGTGGTGAGCTCTGTAATGGAGGGTGGGCTGGAATTGGGAGCCAGAGCCCAGTGGCATATTGGGTGGGTTGACCAGAGGTCACTGAAAAGTGGCCACTGTTTCCAGATGATGGTTTGACTTTGCTTTATTTGGTAAAGGGGAAGAGGAAGGTATAACTTTTCCAGGCGTCAGAGGTGCTCTGGGAGCATTTCAGGGGTTTCCCAGTTGAGAGGCTGATGGGGGTGTTACTCAATGGACCATTTCAAAGACACAGCAGAGGGAATTGTAAGGGGTGGTGATCTGGCTGAGGGGCACTGCGGTGGAATGGGAATTTAAACAGTAGGAGAGAATCGAGAGGAGCTTTGAATCTACCATTTTGGGAAGAGGAAGGAGGAAGGGGTGATAAGAGAGAGTCTGCAACCTTGGGGTAGTGGAGAAAGCAGAGCCACTCTTTTGGGAAGGAGGAGGGAAACTGAGCTGACCCTGTGCCTGGGCACTGGACTTCTCCCATATGGGATATAGTGTATGTGCTTGTTTGTGCCCAAGGCATGCACACACACAAAAGTTGACTTATGGACTGTCGAGTAACTCTCCCTGGGGTAGGAAAACCTCAGGGTCAGCTAGCTGGGGCCCCAGAGGCTTCACTTGGGCTAGGATATCCCGGATGGAGCGGCAGGGGATCTTTCCAGCACTGCCGGAGCCACAGGGCTTGGCACCAGCGGAGGGATCAGGATGGGGAGAGCCATCGGGGTCCCCAGTCAGTGTCAAGGAGGAGACAGACATGCAAGGGTGACCAGAAGAGCTGGACTTGCTGCCACAAGGCTGAAGGATGATTTTGCCACTGGATTGGGAACTGGAGCTGCTGCTGAAGGAGCCGGTGCCTGGCGGGGAGCAGGGGCTCTGGGAAGTGCTGCCACAGGGATGGTAGGGTGAACCGGAGCTGCTGGAAATGCTAGAACTGCTGTGGACTCGAGAACTGAAGGGAGAGCAGGGTCCCTTGGAGCCTGTGGAGCCGCCTCCACAGAGCTGGACCCCACCAGTCCCCACTGGCTGGAACGCAATGACTGAGGAAGCTCCCGACTGGCTGGGGATGATGGGGTTGCTGGAGAAGTATTTGCCCTCAGAGATGGGGGGCCCAGCTGCAAAGGAAGGGACCCCTGGAGAGCCTTTCACAGGGTTATCTTTGGTGAAGTAGCCCACAGGGTAGATTTTCCCTTTACTGTAGGTCATGCCTGGAACCAGATAACTGTCAGAGGAGCCACCCACCACCTCGTAGCCACCATAGGATTTGTCTACAGAGGTGATTGGGGGACAGGGCTTGCCTGGAAGGCCACCGTTGCTACAGGGGAGACCTTGAACCACTCCAGGGCCACCAGAACCGTGCTGCTCCACCACCACCACCACAGGCCTCTGACCCCCTGACACAGAGTGGGAGCTGGGGATGTAGGGGCCAGAGTGTGAGATGATGGGCCCTCCACTGCAGGGAGAGTCGGGGATGTCCGAACTACAGGGACGCTGGTTGGAGCTGACCCTTTGGCCACTGGTCTGGGAAAAGGAAGAGCTTTGTCCAAACTGGGAAGGGTTTAGTATTCCGCGGTAAGCGTTGTCACTGGTTGGCAGAGCAGAGCCACTCCCTACTTGGGAGCTGCTGCTGCTGAACTGAAAGGTGCTGCTGCTGCTGGAATGAGAGCTGCTGCTTCCCAAGTGAGAGCTACTGCTTCCTGTATTAGAGCCGCTGCTTCCTGAGTGAGAGCCGCTGCTGCCGGGCTGGGAGCCGCTGCTGCCGGGCTGGGAGCCGCTGCCGCCCAGCTGGGAGGAACTGGATGCACCTTGTAGACTAGAGCCAGATCCGGAGGAGTAGCTGACCTGGGAATACCCTGTTCCTGGCTTAAAAGATCCTGCAGAACCACCCTGGGCAACGCTGGATCCACTGGAGCCACCGCCAGAGCCACTGGCACTGGAAATGGAGCTGCCAGAACCGCTGGAGCCACTGTAGCTACTGAAGCCACTGGAGCCACCCTTCCCAGTGAGGCAGGGGTCATTAGGAGAGGTGATACGCGTGGGGTCCTTACAGGGGTCTGAGAAGGTGCCAATGCTCTTAGCCAAGGTCCCTGTGGAGGAAAGCAGTGGTTAGTAAGGGCCAGGGAGGCTTGGCTTCCTCCCTCACCTTTCAGCCCTATCTCAGTCATCGGCCTCTATCTCAGTCATCGGCCTCTCAGGTTTCTCCCAAGCGGAGCCCAGGGAGAGTTTAGGGATGGAGAAAGGAGGAAGAACTGGCTGTTGTCTCTAAAGGATATCGAGGTGGCAGAATAAAAGCAGTTTCGTTGTTTGGGAAGGGTGGGCAAACACCAACCAGAAAAATAGAAAATTAGGTGCCAAAGTGAGGGGCCTCAAAGGAATACATTGAAGATAAGGGGGGGCTGGGCACAGTGGCTCACGCTGGTAATCCCAGCACTTTGGGAGGCCGAGGTGGGAGGATTGCATGAGGCCCAGAGTTTAAGAGCAGCCTGGACAACATAGTGAGACCCCATCTGTATTTTGTTTTTTAATTTAAAAAATTTTTTAAAGGAAAAGGGAATGGAAAAATGGCAGGAACAAGTAGGTCTAAAAGAAAGGACCCTAAAGAGACAGAGAACTGGGGAAACTGTGGCTCTGAGAAGTCCAGGCATAAATTCTTAAGGAGAAAAATCCTGGGCCAGACAGTGGGACCAAAGGGAAGGAGAAGACAAAAGGCAAAACAATGGAGGGCTGAGAAGCGGAGAAAAACATAGAAGGAGACACCGGAAAAAGACAAAGCCGGGGGCAGAGGGGCTGAAATAAAGGAAGGGGCACTCGAGGACTAAGATTTGGTCACCAGCTTCTTCGTGAGAGCCCAGGCTGTGGTCAGGAATGGAAACCCTATTTCCCATCCCAGCACTGGCCATGCCAGTAAGGCTGGGTGGGGGCCAGGATGTGGGGTCACTATCTGTTGCTTCAGAACCTGCTGGTACCAGTGTGGCAGGACACCGCACCCTGAGCCAGCCCTGCTCTCGCCGGCCCAGCCCAGGACGAAACCCTGAGAGCCTCAAAGACTCCTGGCCATGATTAGCTTCCCTCTGTGAGCACACCTGCCTCCATCCAGCCTTTCATCTGACTTCTGCTGCCTTGACTTTCCTTTGGGATGTGGGAACACATCTTTCCTTATCTTTCCTTTCCTTTGCTCAAAACCCCAGGCCCAACTTACCCCGTGGTTCCTCCATGACTCTTTTACCTGCATTTCTTCTGCATTCCCTGGTCCCTCCAGGTCCCACGTGACACAAACAGAGCCACATAGCAAGTTACTGAACCTCTCTGAGCTTTAGTTTATACATTCAGAGGGGCCAAATTTGTCTTGCCTTCTCACAGCATTACTATGAAGAAGACTAAATGAGAGCATCCATCTGGAAGATTTTTTTTCTTTTTTTTTTTTTTTTTAGATGGAGTTTGGCTCTTGTTGCCTGGGCTGGAGTGCAATAACATGGTCTCAGCTCACTGTAACCTCTGCCTCCTGGGTGCAAGCAATTCTCCTGCCTCAGCCTCCCAAGTAGCTGGGACCACAGGCACCCGCCACCACACCCAGCTAATTTTTTGTATTTTTTGTAGAGATGGAGTTTCACCATATAGGCCAGGCTGGTCTCGAACTCCTGACCTCAGGTGATTCACCTGCCTTGGCCTCCTGAAGTGTTGGGATTACAGGCGCAAGCCATCGTGCCCGGCCAGAAGATGTTTTAGAAAGTGTAAAGCATTATATATTATGATTTATTACTGCCACTCATCCTGACCCCTCCACTAACAACCAGACTTCCATCCTCTGTGATGTCCCTGTTCTCTCCTCAGAAAGAAATTCTCTGCATGCACCTCCACACCAAACCCCTTCTGTGCCAATTCCCTTCAGTACTCTGCAAAATTCACCAAGCATTGCCTTTCTCTTTCTCTATTCCCTCAGACACCAACCACCTACCAGACCATGGGAAGGTCGCAGAAATTCCTTAAGTGCTGTAAGTACCCGGTGGTCAACAACACAGGTCCAGGGGTCACCTGGCCTGGGGTTGAAATCTTGGCTTTGCTGCTTTCTAATGCATGATCCTGAGCTAGTTTCCTAACCTCTTCATGCCTCAGTGTCCTCATCTGTAGAGTGGAAATAGCAAATCTCCTTTCATACCATCCTTGTAATGATCAAAAGTGCTAATGTAGGCCGGGTATGGTGGTTCATGCACCTCGGGAGACCGAGGCGAGTGGATCACTTGAGTCAGGAGTTCTAGACCAGCTTGACCAACATGGTGAAACCCTGTTTCTACTAAAAATACAAAAAAAATTATCCAGATGTGGTGATGGGCGCCTGTAGTCCCAGCTACTCGGGAGGCTGAGGCATGAGAGTTGCTTGAACGTGGGAGGTGGAAGTTGCAGTGAGCTGAGATTACGCTACTGCACTCCAGCCTGGGAGACACAGTGGGACTCCATCTCACAAAAAAAAAAAAAAAAAGGTTCTAATATATAATCCAAATGTGCTTAAAACAGAGTCTAGCATATTAAAAGCTCTAAAAATGATATCACTATTAAATGTCCAATCATTATCGTGTAGTTCTCCCATAATAAAAATTACCACCACCACCATTTATATAAACCTCTAGAATTTCCAAAGCATGTGTCACATACATTATTTAATTTGAGACACACAGACTAGAGATAGGTGTCATTAACCCCACTTCAGAATTTCAGAAACTGAGGCTCAGGAAGTTTAAGAAACTTACCTGAGGTGACAAGGCAGTGAGGAGCAACCCCCAGACTCAAAAGGCAGATTCCAGAGCCCCTGCCCGTCCCCTTCACTGGGTCCTCTCCTCGACTCTCCCTCCCACCTTCCTGCTGTTCCCAGGGCCCCCAGCCTCCTACCTGGCAGAAGCAGACCAGCCAGCAGCAGTGCCATCATCCCGTGCCCGCCCACACGCCCCATCCAGGGTGCCCGAGACAAGCCCATCTCGGACTGCACAGCCTCCTGACTGACGGCAGCTCGAGGACACCCGGGTCCTTTATGCCAGAGCTGGACATTCCCTGGGCAGGAGTCACTGTGGGGAGGGGAGGAGAAGTGGAGGGGGTGGGTGCCCTGGGGGAAGTTGGTGTGGCCGGGAGGAGCGTGGTAATCAGCCCGGTGCATCTGCCTACTCAGCAGCAGCAGTGGCTGCAGTGTGGGGTACCCATGGCCACGGGGCCCTAACGATCCTGCCACCTGACAGGCCTGGCCCCCGCTCCTCATTGCCTAACCCGGAACCAGGCGCTCTGCCCCACGGCCACCCACTCTGGGGCGGCCACTCTTGCCACGGGACCCAGCTGCCTGGCTCCTTAACTCTCCTGCCTACCCTGGCTTGGCCTGTCTCCCCATCTGCCCTCCACTCACAGACATGGGCGTTTCAGCTTTTTTTTCCACACTTGGGTGCCTGTTCCAGCCCCACCTGCCCAACCCCAGTGAGGTCCCATTCACAGCCCCCAATCTGCTCCTTCCTTGGGACCCCATCACTCCACCTCCACTTTCCTCCTTCAAATATGAGTTCTGCCCCCATCCCCCAGGCTCTCCCTCCCACCACTCCCCAAGTACTAGGCCAGCCATACACCTATTACATGTTCCATCACCTGGGGAACCTTCTCCTTCCCAGAAATGGGGCACCACATTCCCAAAACCAATCCCTGACCTGTTCCTTCTGGGGGCCTCTGGGGACGGCATGGTGATGGGGGTAGGGGGGGTGCTGGGAGCCAGGGCTCAGCCAGGGGAGGGACCTGGGCTGATGACCTCTGTCATAGCTGGGCCTTGGTTACTCACAGGCCACTCACAGCCCCTCCCCATGGCTGGAAACTCAGACCTCAAGGGTGAGCAAGAAGCTAAGAAGGCTAATTGGGAAGGTGGTGGCCCCATAGCCCATCTGCTGGCCCTGGGCTGGATGAGCGAGCAGGAAGCAGCAGCCAACTCTGGGCAGGTCAAGGAGGGCCAGGCAGGCTCCCGGGTCCTCAAAGGATGAAAGGAGGCCAGGAGAACCAGAGCCCTGCCGTCTGCTGAGAGGGTGGTGGCTTCTCCTCCATTGCACTGGCCTCCCTCCTGCTCTGGCCCCGGCCCTGCCCCAGCCAATTAATTGCTCCCTAGTATTGCCGGAGTATCAGTATCGGAGGGAGGTGCCTAGGAGTTCAGCAAGCTGCCCTCTCCCCCGCCAGGCCTCGGACACCCCTGCTCCCCTCACCCAAACTCACTTCCAAAACCTCATCTCCTCACAACGGCAGGTCCATCCCTGGAGCCCTTGGGCTGGTCTCTCCCATTCCCTCTACCTCCTGACCGGCCTTTAAGTCCAGACCGGCAGGATGGAAATGTTCCTGTCTGTGCTGTCTGACACAGTAGCCACTAGCCACATGGGGCTAGTCTAACCACCAAAGATTTGGAGCTTTAATTTTAATTAATTGTAATGATGTGGTTGGCCACGTCCAGCTAGTGGCTACCATCTAGTCTTGCTCTTGACTTGCTGGTGACACTCAGAATGGGAGTGGGAGGAAAGACGGGCTGAGGGAGCCGAGGAGAGAGGAAGGGATAGGACAGGGTCCCCTGAAGGGGGTTAATGCCTTGGGAAAAACAAAAAACACTGGCTTCAGAATGAAGATGATGTGGGTTCAGGTCCCAGCTCACCTCTTGGCTTTGGGCCAAGTTCAAACCTTTCTGAACTTCCATTTCCTCATCTGTAAAATGGGGATATTTTAAACAACACTTAGCTTGCAAGGTTTTTATGAATGGCAAATGGGAAATTATCAGAAAGGTTAAATGGGACAAGGGGTGCAGTCCCCCTGTAGGAAGCCCAGCAAATGGAGCCCTGCAGGTGCTCCTGTCTTCATCCTTCCACTGGGGGAAACAAATAGGCCAGGTTCACCCCTACAGCCCCAGGCTCCCTTTCCTGAGTCTCCAGCCCAGCCAATGCTAGCAGAGTCTCTTCTGCTCCCTTCCTCCCTTGTGTAGAGCTGCAGGCACAAATGTGAGACACAGATACCATTTAAAGTGATGCTGCTCGGCGGGCGCGGTGGCGCTTATAATCCCAGCACTATGGGAGGCCGAGGCGGGCGGATCACTTGAGGCCAGGAGTTGGAGATCAGCCTGGCCAACATGACGAAACCCTGTCTCTACCAAAAATACAAAAAAAAAATTAGCCAGGCTTGCTGGTAGGCACCTGTAATCCCGGCTACTTAGGAGGCTGAGGCAGGAGAATCACTTGAACCCGAGAGGCAGAGGTTGCAGTGAGCTAAGATCGCACCATTGCACTACAGCCTGGGTGACAAAAGGGAAACTCCGTCTCAAAAAATAAAAAATAAATTAGGTGATGCTGCTCTTTCCAAACATCATTTCCTCCTGTGGGCCTCCCTAGACTCTCAGGCTTGGCTCCCTGGAGGACCTGGGCAAGCAGGCAGGGGGCTCTGGGGCAGCAAGGGGAGTGACAGAGGTCAGGGAGGAATGGACTAGGAGGTGCTGGGCCATTCCCCAGGTTGGGAGGGGAGAAGGCAGCGGAACAGCGGAACAGCAGAACCTGTGGCTTCTTTTCCAACACAAACTTCCCCTGACCAGCCAGAGGTAGCAAAGTTTTTCTTGTTTTCGTTCTCACATTCCTCCCAGCTGCCGTCAGAACTTGGCCAAGACAGCCAGGCTGGAGGAGGCACAGTCTCTCCTGGCCTCCTGCCAGGTTCCAGCCGCCCACGTGGGTTGGTGGTGCAGCCACATCCCTCCTCCTAGCTACTCTCTCCTGTCCACTCCTATCCACTCCATCCTGCCACCCTGGGCTGCCCAGTTCCTCTACTGTCCTGCCCACCTCTGGGCCCTCAAACTCCAATCTGCTGCTCTTTTGATTTTTTACTGAAACCCTGTCTTCAGTGCTGGATTTTACTCTGCTGCTCACCATTAATCTTCCTCTCAGCGCAGGCGGTGAAGACCTAAAGCTAAGGGGGCTTAGGAGGGTAGAGAAGGGCATCAGCTGAGTGCCCGCACAGACCAGGGTCACCTTCAGTGAAGCTGCCAGTTTGGTGATGTCCACAGTAGTGCAGGCAGTTCTGCTGTGTTCTACAGCGACAGAGTCTGCCCCTGCCCCTGCCCGTGCATTGGACCAGGTGAGAAAGTGTGGGTGGCGTAGACACCCTGCACCTGAGAAAATCAAACTCAAAGCACGTGCCTTCCATAGGCAAAAGGTGGGGCTCCCAGTCATGTATTGTGAAGCAGGCAGGTCACTCTCCCCTCCATCCCTCCAGCAGCCCTGTGCTACTGTGTTTTCTGTGCCAGGCTTGGCCCCCAGTGCACGCTCCTCTGCTGTGCTTTGGAAGTTGCACTGAGAAGGAAGAGGAATTGTTCCTTGCCCTGAGGAGCTGCCATCCAACTGGGGACACACAGCCTAGAGTGGAGAAGCGGAGAGGCACTTGGCTTCAGGGAGGTGGCAGGACTTTCCCTAGGCCTTGAGGAATGATGAGAGAAGCACGGAGCAGGCAGCCAGACACAGGGCCTTGGTTTCAGGTGTGTTTAGAACCAGCGGATGGCGTGGGTTGGTGTGGGACATGCATGTGGAGGAACAGTGGTGTGGGAGAAGGGACAGGCTGCTTGGATCGGGATTGTAGATGACCTACAACACCGGGTTAAAAGGATTTGGATTCTACAGGAATTGCAGTAAATGTGAGAGGGTGCAGGGAACCAAAGGGCTTTGAATGATCACAAAGCGGGCTGAAGCATGGCGTGGTGTAGTCCCAGCTACCCAGGAGGTGGAGGTGGGAGGAATCCGAGGCCAGCTGGGGCAACATGAGGGATTCCATAAAGAGGAGGCTTGGGGCACGAGATCCACCGTGTACTGACTGCCTGCTGCAGGCGGACACGGTGCCTGGGGATTTAACATGTGTTGTCTTGTTCAATCTTCACAACAGCCCTACAGGGTAAGAGCTTTTTCCCCCTGTTTCACAGATGAGAAAACTAAGTTCAAATTGTTTGTCCAAACCAGCTGCTAACAAGCAAAAATGTTCGAAAAAGATTCAAACCCAGGCCTGTTGGACTTCCAGGCCACATAGATCCTGTTACTCTGCAGCTGACACCGCGCTATAAACGGGTGGCGGAGGTTCATGGACAGGCTTCAGAGGTTCCCTAAGCCCTGTAAGGATGTGTGCAAAATTCCTTATGTAAATGAATCTTTCTAGAGAGAAGATTTCCACTCTCAAAGCTGGCCAGCTATGGTGACTCACGCCTGTAATCCCAGTGCTCTGGGAGGCCGAGGCAGGTGGATCACTTGAGCTCAGGAGTTTGAGACCAGCCTGGCCAACATGGCAAAACCATCTCTACTAAAAATACAATAATTAGTCAGGTGTGGTGGCGAGCACCTGTAATCCCAGCTACTCGGGAGGCTGAGGCACGAGAATCGCTTGAACCGGGGAGGCAGAGGCTGCAGTGAGCTGATTTCATGCCACCGCGCTCCAGCCTGGGTGACAGAGTGAGACTCTGTCTCAAAAAAAAAAAAAAAAAAGAATTCCTAAGTAAGGGTTACTGGCTCAAGAGGTCCCTCCTTCACAGCTTTCCTCCTCTGGGGGCCTGAGAGTCAGGACAGAAGTTCTAGAACAAGTGTTTCCCATAGGGGTCCTTGGTAGACCAGGGCTTAGGCTTGGAAGAAGGAAAACGGAGTGAGAACAAGGAAGAGAAAAAGCCCTGAAGAGCAGCTTATTTTGTGCTGGGGAGACAAGGAAGGGGGCCACCCGGAGCTGCTCTGGGGCTCCAGGGCCTGTGGGCTCCTCCCCTCCTTTGTTCCTCTCTGCTTAGCTCCAGCGAGAGGCCATTTCCTCTCCTCCTCTCTCTTTCTCCATGACACCCACGCTTCCCTGTGGACTCACCTCTGCAGCCACAACACCACCCTCCTCTCCCTGGGCGGAAGCCGACGCTCCTGGCCCACTCCCAGTAGGGGATGTCCTCTGAGTTGTTTTTCCTGTGCGGGGAGG